AACTATTATTAACATAATTAACATGCTCAATGGATTATATTTGTTGTGAATGATTAAACCAACAAAATATGTTAAGGGCTATATCAAACGATAAGTATTACCAGGGAACAGTGAAATTACACTGTTCCCTGGTATTACATTAGTGCATACGTATGAGATTAAATAAATAAATCCGTTAGCACTATTTAAACAATAAATGATAAATAAATATAAGTTATTAAATTATGAATGAAAAAATTTAAACGAATCCTTAATTAAAATTATTAAAGGAATAAATAGGCCTTAGCCAGTCTGGGCCTACGCATTGTATGCTCTCTTAACTTGGCGTTGTAGTGGATCAACTTACTTTATTATTTAGTGTCTTCGCGTCTTGCTTTATTTCCGTTGTGGTAATTGCCACTTTGATTATTGTTTCGGGTATAAGCAGTAGGTGACCATGTGGGTGGTGCACTGCCCTCACCCACACACAATATTTTGTTATACACAGTTTATACTTAATTAATGAATAATTATTACTTTAAAAAACTAATTAGTTAAATGTTAATATAATACTATAAAACATTTATATAAACGAGTGAGAGTATAATACAGATCTAAAACTACTCAGTAATGCTTAAACATGATGCAACTGTCGTTTCGGATACCCAGTAGAGGAACATCTCCACTCATCCCCTCAGAACATGTTCCCGTGTCCTCGATTACTCTATCCTTCCCTCAATCCGGCAATATACCAAAAGCATAAAACGGACAGCGATGCACATGGTTTCTTTTAATTGAGAAGGGGGCGATGGCTGGCTCGAGACACTGTGCATCTCACATAGGGATGTTTTTAAATCCCGGTCAAAAAAAAAGGATCAATTTAATGAAATATAGGAAAAAACACTCCCTTAAAAATTCAATGGAACCATAAATTGTCTATTTTATGAAAAGTATTAAATACATCATTATAAATGAAATATGATACCAAAAACATTTCAGTTTCACTTATTTACAGAGAGACGTTTACTATTGGTTATTGCAAAATAATAATGGAACTGCATTATACTTCGGCAGATTTACGATTACATTTACTCTAATTTTCAATTTCTTTTCATAAATACACAAAGCAAGCAATTTAATAAATTGAATTAAATTTTTCCGTTTTTTTTAAAATTTCAATCATGACTGTTGCGTTAGGTTGTCGAAAGCTGTACGTTGAGGGCGGCAATTATATTTACACTATCTTCCGGGAAGGAAATTGACAACAATAATGGCACCTTCGAGGCATCAAAACCAACAAACTGCAGTCCAAAAGCAGATTCACGAAGACTGGGCAAATCGAGAATATATTGAAATAATTACAACAAGTATCAAGAAAATTGCCGACTTTTTGAATTCATTCGGTAATACTTATTTACTCATTATTCTGTGTATTACTATCCTAGCTAGGCCTAGCTGGCGCTAAGCTAGGTAAGTAAGAAGGAGGGTAGCTGGGCTGGGCAGGCCGTCCTCCAGCAAAGCCTATGATGATGACTAAGAGTAGTGTAGGCTGAGACTTACGTTTGAATTTGAAGGCTTGGCGGGACTAGCTATGCCTATATTATATAATGTATCTTATTATATTGAGACCAAGCTTTTTATGTTCTAATTTATGAATTCAATTCATTATCGTATGATTAATACAGGGGTCCCAAGTTGGAAGAACCCTTCCATTCAGGGATATTCATTAATGACATTAGGGGCGCTATAGTCCACATATCAAGCGCCCTGAGCATCTTACATTAGATGAATATGTGCGCTATATAAAACTACACTATTACTCATATATATTATATGAGGAAAAAGTGTAGGTACCAAACGAAAGGCCATGCCCACCTCAGGCCCAGCGTGATTGGGGCTGAGGTGATGACATTTTTTTAAAGCAGGCACCTTTAGAAGCCCTGTCACAATGGCACTGTCAGACTGCAAAAAATAATCAGCAACCAAAGTTTAGGCCTAAATAAAATAAAAATCCTTAATCAATTTAAGAGGATTCTGGAGAAAACATGGTGTTAGCATCAATCAAACCGCTTCTACCCGTATACATATTTGTCCGAGAACCAGAATCTTGGAAGGAAACTTTAGCTTTTTTAGCACCAAATCCTATTAACCAAGTAAAGTAAAGTATCTTAAGAATTACATTGCAATGTAAGTATTACTACACTAGGCATATCACATAAAAATCTTTTTTCCCTCATTTTTTTTTTTTTTTTTTTTTTTTTTTTTTTTTTTTTTTTTTTTTTTTTTTTTTTTTTTTTTTTTTTTTTTTTTTTTTTTTTGTACTAGATATATCATGCCGTTCAAGACTGACACTATTGAATGAAAAATTAACGTCTTTGGAGAGGAGGGTCGAATACATAGAAGCAAGGGTAAGTAGAGAATCTACATTTTTGATCATGCTATGAAATTTGTCCAGTATAATGTGAAGTACTGTATCTGGAGCAGGTTTTAGGCCTACTTAATGTATGATCATGACCACTTTACTGTACTTTACTCAGTTAAAAACATATTGTAAATCAGTATATAATTTTGTAGTTGTGTTCTGCCTCAAATTAAAAAAAAATATATTATGGATATGTAATATCAATTGTATTTGTATATCTGGTTTTTTTTTTTTTTCATTTTTTTTTTTGTTTTTTTTTTTTTTTTTTTTTTTTTTTTTCATTTGTCATCTAATGTTTCTCAATTGTGGTTAAGTATCGTACCATGTACTTCATCTCTTTTACTTTCCATTTTGTTATCAGTGGGTTTCCATCTGTTTTGCTTTTGAGTGAATTTTAAATAAAAATATTAAGAACATGTTAAGTACAACAAAACTGTGAGTTTTCACAAGGGAAACATCCTTCTCAGATTCCATTGGCCTGAATCCCTGAATTCACACATTCATATTCCCTCAGTTCCTACTCAGATGCCTCCACAGTTTCACACATGGCCTCCTTTTCCTTCTCAAGTCCCTTTTCAATTGCCTCATGATATCCAGCATGTACTAACTTGTCCTACCTTGTGGCCTCCCTCTCCAGCCTGTCTTGTTTGCATATTTACCTCTCAGTCTTCTAGCTCTGATGGAAAGCAAATTCTGATACCAAGTTATTGTTACTATTAAATTTTAGATTTACGAAAATAAATAATTTCCATAATTATTTATCTTCTTTTCAGGTTACAAGGGGAGATACTATGATCTGATTGGTGGACAGTTTCACTTAAAATGATATCAATGTAAACCTCATCACACAAGTGCTTACCTATAAAGCATGAAATTACAAATACAAGATTAACTCACTTTTCAGGTGAAAATATTTGGACAACAACCTAAATACACTTTTCACACTCACTATTTTTTGCAAATAGTAACATTAGTAACAAGTTGTAACCAGGTTTTGCAGAATTTGAAAGCAAATCCTCGTAAAACATTTCAAGATACCCTGTGATATTTTGGGTGACGAAGCCTAAGTTATTCAGTGTGCATGTGTTCATACTGCCACCAGACAACAAAAAAAACAAATAATGTACCTAATGTAATCCTAATGTAATCTAGGCTACCCTAGATACCTTGTCCTACCCTACTAGATATCTAGGCCTACCCTAGACATCTATGCCTACCGCTATTCTTCCAAGATTTCTGCATGGCTCGGATTATTGTGTGTGTGAAATGAAAGTATCTCGGTTGATCAAAGTTGTTACGACTTGCTACTAATTATCAAATGTTAAAACACTTTTTGTTAGTGCGAAAAGAGTGTAAGACTATTGTATATGTGGCAAAGACAAGCCAAATTAGTCACTCATCGCAAATCGAGTTTCAGAAATACTGTAATGGCCAAAACATGTTGGAATGTCAACATTTTTGAAATTTGTTTTATTCCACAAAATTAACCTTTCCTTACATCATGCTATGATATTATTTTCTCCATTTTCAGTGTTAAAACAACAAATCTTTCAATTTGGTAATGGTTCCTGCCGGAGAACCGTAAACTTCAAAGGCTGATTTTTCAAATATTTTTTCATAAACAGCTGTATGTTTAAACTTCATAACGAAATGCCAGATTTAAATGATTCTTTTACCATTTTATAGGTCTTATTTTACTGTTTTATATAACACATTATTTTATTACTAAAAATTGATCTTTCTGAGGTGTGAGTGACTTGTTTGGCTTGTCTTTGCCACATATTATACTGCTCTGTAATATTATTATTTGTAAATTAATGTGTTGGTAAATGTTTATATTTTGATGATACTCATCAGGAAGTGTTGATATTGTTTTGAGTTATATTGTAATAAAGTGAAGTTACTTTAGTCTCCCCTACATAATTGTGACAGGCTCTGGCAAAACCAACTGTTTGTAGGCAAAATTCAAAATTTAGATATTGGTGTTTCTAGATTTTGCATGAATTCTTCTTTAAAGCAGTGTTTATTCGATGGAAAATGGTTCAGTATTAGCAAAGTTATGAATGTTTAATTCATTGGATATCAGCCATGTAGGTTTTGAGAAAACAGCTTTCAAAGATTCCAAAATCAATAGTTTATTTTATTAAGATTTGTATTTTAAAAATAATTTTAAAATACTTTTCAGTTAGATTTAATGAATGATATTTTGCAGAAATGTTCTTCAATGTGTCTTCTTTTATAAAATACAGTACAAGAAACATAAAAATGTTCAAAGTTCTGATTCTTGAACGTTTTAGGTGCTTGTGGGAAATTAGAAATTGCGACAAACGCCGGATTTTGCCAGAGCCGGGGTCACAATCAGTAATGAAGCAAATCTGAGATTCTTCATTATCATGTGAACTACATTTGTAGTATAGCTGTATATATATTAGTGTCTATAATGCTTACCTTTAAACACCAAGTCCCTGGGTTCAAATACTAAACTACTGAGATGAAGTTTTCTGTGCTTTTGATTAAAAAAAAAATGTTCACTTGGTTTATAAAGAGTTTTAGTTTAATGTATTTTAAACCCCTTTTTTATGATTTTTTTTTAGGATGTGCCATCCTGTTATGAATTTTGGAAAGTCTTAAAAATTGAATTATAATACTGGTATTGAATTGCTTATTTAGTGATTAAATATGTTATTAACTTCTAATGAAATCAAGGTCAAACCTATTAGGTTTTAACTGATTTGCAGACCCTTTTACTATAAAAGTCTTTAAATCTATTACAAGATCTGCTGTATGCAATAGAATAGTAACTATTATTCAGGGTTGTAGCTGTAGAAAGACATTTTAAGGGTGGGTCGGTGACATTGGTAAACTCTAATTAATAACAGTGGATTTTAAGGATGGGCAAGCGGGTTAATAAAGTCAGGTGGAGGGCCATGAAATTAGCTTTAGACTGGGTGGAAAACTTCAAAGCTGGGTCGCCCAGCCCACCATAACTACATCCCTGATTATTTGTATGTCTGTTAATTTGTGAGGAAAATCTTTTTTTCTTTTACTTTTTAATGGAAAGCTAATAATATAGGAATTCTTAATTAAGCAATTAAATATATTTAAATTAATTTTTAAACGTTTCAAACAAACCACAGATGTTATATCTAGCTTCAACAAATTGTGTATTTTTCTAAGCTCAGTGAACACTGCTACCGACTTGATTTCATTTATTTCGCAACAATTAATTCAGTGACAAATCATTTTCAACAACGATCTACTGAATTTGATCATGTTGACAATTGTCAGCAGATGGACAAACCCAATGAACAAGCACAAGATTTTAAACTTCAATGAAGTTGATCACTTTGTACAGATAATGTGTATGCTTTATAGTAATGAGAAGAAAACACAAAAACAAAAATGAGCATTTATTTAAAGGAAAGCAAGAAAAAAATATGAGAATTGGACTTTCGTAACAACCACTGTCACTTTATAAGTTAACACTACATAACTTGTACTTAAAGTGGACAATCATGATTTATTGATAATAAATTTTGGTTTTACATTGCATTTGTGCACATTTTATGTAAAATAGTCTTTTTTTAAACTTTTGTTGATAGCAAATATGTTATGTGAATATGTTAAATAATAACTTAGTTTTCAAAAATTTGTTTTAATATCAGTGTTATCAAAATTATTATTACTATTAGTATTGTTATAGATTACTGAAGTATTCTCAGATAAGATAGTGTAATACATACTCCAAGTATCGAAATGCACGCCATCGTGTCGGGATTCAATATTTCGACATTAATTATGTCATGACATAAATAATGTCGAAATATTGAATCCCGACACGATGGCGTGTATTTCAATACTTGGAGTATGTATTATACTTTCTTATCTGAGATTAATCAGTGGACCTTTCGGTTTCTGTAGTATTACCTTCACAATATTTGTTGTCTTTATTATTATTATCATTTTCATTATTGTCATATTTCCTTTTATAATACTAATTCATGGTAACTTAATATTTCTTGGCTATTTTCTAATGTGGTATACATTTTTGTAATATTATGGATTTATTAACATAGTGGTTATTATACTTTTTGACTCTGTAACTGAATAAAATAATATATTATGTACTTGGAACTTCTAGATTCTTTTCTAGATTTGGATCTTTTCTTTGTAAACATAAACTAAGTCGTTATTTCAGCGGCGTTGCTAGGCCCGCCCAGTGCAAGATTAATTGCCGGGCCCTCTGATGTGATAGGGGAATTCCCTAAAGTTGTTGTAAGATTCCTTCTTTTACCCCCTACTGCCAAAGTCCTATGTTAGTAATAAACACTATGATAGTCGGATTTTAAAGAGGGGCATATTCGGTTTTAGCAGCTGTTTTAAACTAATCAAGACGATTGGTGGCATGTAAAAATATGCAATTGCAGTGGCAGATCAAGGAATTCGAAATAGAGGGGCCAGGGAGGGATTTTCACAGGTGAAGGAAGGAGACCACCTCAACCCCACCATGGTTGGGACTGAGGTAAGAAAATTTAGGATTATAGCACATCTGGATGGATGGAAATCGCACTCTCCGACTTAAAATATAATGAATATAATTCCCCCCCCCCCATTTTTTTTTTTTTTTTATATATATAATTTTGAAATCAACACAGTGATCAATAATTACTGTACTCTTTTTAAAAACAGAATATTATTGAGGAGGGGCCAGCTGGTCATTTATTTCCTTCACATTATTTTAATTATTATTTTTAGGTATGTTTATGATAGGCCACTACATAGCCCAGGGCCCAGTGCAGTGGCGGTGCCAGCGGGGGGACATGGGGGCTTAAGCACCCCCATCTAGTTTTTATCACATACCTAACCCTGGCTTCTTGGGCTTTTGGCCATCAGATAACGCTGCACGCTATATTTACACCTACAAATTATATCCTAGAGCCGCCACTGCCCCAGTGCTTTGCAGAGGCCCGTAGCTACGCCACTGGGTTATTTATTTGGCGCAAACGGTCCAGGGATTGAGTGAACAGCATTTTGCCATGACAACACAAGCGGTGTCCCCATCCCCTGGAACATTTACGAACGTGAGCAGTGCATTTTCGCCATGTGCCTGAATACCGAACAAACAATACGCAGGCCGTGTATGGGCGAATATTATATTATTATATTTTATTATAATATCGCTTTCACAAAATGAATAATTACATTTTCCTTTTGGTCGTTTTAAAAGATCACAAAAATAATTGTTTATTTTTATGGATCTCGAAAGTAGTTAATAGCAATTCAGAATTTATTTATTTATTTATTTATTTATTTATTTATTTATTGCACATCCAACAGTGTATACACCAATTACAGGATGAAAATATAAAATATAAAAACTTACACAATATCAATGGAAAAAATATTTACGATAATACGCCAACTCCTGTCTCTTATACACATCTAGATGTGTATAAGAGACAGGACAACACAAGCGGTGTCCCCATCCCCTGGAACATTTACGAACGTGAGCAGTGCATTTTCGCCATGTGCCTGAATACCGAACAAACAATACGCAGGCCGTGTATGGGCGAATATTATATTATTATATTTTATTATAATATCGCTTTCACAAAATGAATAATTACATTTTCCTTTTGGTCGTTTTAAAAGATCACAAAAATAATTGTTTATTTTTATGGATCTCGAAAGTAGTTAATAGCAATTCAGAATTGCTTTATATTTGGAGTCATTTTTTGGCAGATTACGCCACTCGTCGTCTGTCATAGTGTCATATGATATTCAAAGGACAATGTGAGGCGTATCTAGGAGACTTGTAATTGGGAAGCTGATGGGGAGGGGTGCGAAGGTGAAGTGGGGGATCGATGATTAGGTGAGGGTGAGCTACTCCACAAATAAGGTACTTGAAAAATAAGTACTTGAGCCTGATTTTTTTTTTTTTTTTTTTTTTTTCGAATATTTTCAATGGGGAAGTTGTCGTGAGTATTTTTGGGAGGCGTGCGCACCCTCTCGTCTAGATACGCAACTGAATGTTCAACCAGGCAAAGACACACGAATTTATTGGTCAGGATATGATTGAAATTGAATCAGGGCTCACAAGTCTCCCGGATTGCACGGGAGTCTCAAGGAATTTTGGTTCATCTCCTGGTCTCCCCGAACTTACCACATTTTCTCCCGGCAACTCCACATTTTCTCCCGGAATTCGAATTTCTCCAGGATTTTAACAGATTTCCACAATTAGGACTTACGCTAAGCAAAATTTTCCCATTCTTATGCATTAAATTTGGCAGACATAATATTCATTGAACACTGTATGTATTAACCTGCCAAGCCTATTTGTTCTTACATTGAACAAGGTGATTGTACACGCCTGTCCTTGTATATGCGTTTTAGCTAGCTTTTCGCCAGAATCTAATCAACTTTTTGGGACTCGAGACAAAATTTCAGTTCAACTGTCAAATGTGATTTTCAGTATGTCAGTTGTTTGTTTTTTTGGTTTTTTTTTTAGCAATGGATCGGCGCCAGGAATACCCCGACGAGGTGTCCGAGCTCCCCGACAAGTAGGTCCACTCCCCTGTCGGGAAGCCTATTCCCCTCCCCCGGTCGGGGAAAAATTATTTTGTCGGGGAAAAATTAAATTTGTCGGGGATTTTTTTTAATTTAAAGATAATAAAATTTTGTGTTAAGCATGGGATTCTTTATTTAAAAAGGAATTCGGGGGTACTAGTCCACCTGTTGAGGGTACTAACCCCCTATCCGAGGTACCATCCCCTGTCGGGGAATAGCTGGCGCACCACTGCAATCCATACGATCGCAATAGTATACAACACCTCGCACATGGTAGCACTGCTCGCACTAAATAGTTTTTACCCCACAAATTTTGACAGCTTAAAGGACATACTTCAAATTGTACTCGGCGCTCGAGATTTGATTTTTCCCCGGCGACCTTGCTGAAAATTCCTCTACAAGGGGGTCCAAGTGGGGGTCCAGAAGTTTTCGACAGGGGTCCTTTGCCCCTGGATCCCCCCGCTGGCGCAGCCCTTGTCTTAGCAATTCAAAATCATTGTTCCAATGGTATTTTAGGCTAAAACAACGCTCTCAGCCCTAGCCCAAGGAACCAAATGCTATGGGCAGTCTTTTTCTCCAAGG